TGACAAGTGAAGATGAAACAGGTCAGTTAGCCCATCGTGATGAATTCAATGAGAATTGTTCACGATGGTTCCCAGGGGGAACCACGTGGAGGTTGACCTGATAGGTATGACCTGATATTGCTAGCAATGGGGCTGTCAAACTCCATTGCTAACAATCCCTTCCCCCCCCATAAAATGTATATTGCCGTGTGGTCCCGGCATAGAATAGGCTCCCTATTCCTTTACTGTGGGTGTTGTAAGGGAATTACATAATGCATTTTGGGTTTTTTTTTTAATGGATGATAATGGAATGATGACCCCGCCTGCGCTATCGGTATACACTAGTGGGGCACCAGTGAGAGATGATTGGTGAAGATGAATAAGCAGGTCAGTTAGCCCATCGTGACGAATTCATCGATAAATTAGTTACGATAGTTTCCAGGGGAAACCGTGTGGAGGTCGACCTGGTAGGGTATATTGATAGCAATGAGGACAAAAATCCCTTCCCCCTCCCCCCCCCCCCGCAATTTGGGGGTTGGGGTGTATTGTGAAACATTACGATACGTAACAGGGGCAAGAGTGGTGTTATGGGTATATTAATATAAAAAGTGGGGTTCGAACAGCGCGTTACATGACTTTTTTTTTTTAATGGTTGCCAACTTGAAAAATTTTAAGTTGGCAACCCTTTTCGCTTATATTTTACGTTGAATCCCTCGACTGTTTTGTACGCCATTTTTATTCGTTGTCAGTATTCGTTAGTGTTGTGACTTTTAAATAAAATTGGCCACAATTAGTACCGAAAAAGTCGATACGGCGCGATACATAAGGACAGAGAAGCAGTCTCAAAAATCTTCAAAATTTGATAGAACATTGAAATTAAGAGGCGACTATGGGAATGCTCTGAAATGAAAAGGATGGCTCTTTTTGTTTTTTTTTTTTTGTTGATTTTTCGTTTTTGTTTTTCATTCTTTTATCTCTTTTACTGTGTATATCTGTATTATGTATATGTTTGTATTGTTATTTGTGTGCAACAAGCTGACGCTTGTTTAACTTAGAATGGTCTATGTTGTATAAAAAAAAATTAAATAAATAAAATAAAATTTCATAGTGATTACTCAAATAAACAAACAAACTCACTTTCACATTTATAATATTAGTAAGAATAGTTTGCGATACGATTTGCTTCACGAATAGATGGGAATGGAATGATGAATGATGACGATGACGATGACGATGATGAAGCTTTTGTAATTTAAATGTAATAAAACTGTTCACAATTTCCATCAAATAAATTGCTCACGTATTGTGATTGGTGCATGCATAGATTAAACAAAAAATACTTATTTTGTTTATTAAATCTATGCTTTATACTTTATGCTGTAAGCTTCCCTCAAATATAATAAATAAATAAATAAATTTAATTTATTTTTCTATGTTACAAGCATATTCACAATCGTTTACTACCGTGTTAATAACCTGTTCATTTCTGGAAACCATCGTGAACAATTCTTATTGAATTCGTCACGATGGGCTAACTGACCTACTTCATCCTCACCTATCATCCTTCACTGGTGCCCCGCCGATGTATACCGATAGTGCGGGTGGGGTTACCATTTCATTATCATCCATAAAAAAAAACATGTCCAAATATCTTTTTTTTTTCATTCAGTTCAAAGGCTGCCGCTGGCTAAGAATGTTTACGCAAACATGACGCACGCAGGTAATAATGGCGTTCTGTAACTGAACGGACATACTAATAAACATGTTTGTATTCTCCAGAGATCGAATCCATGACCGGTAGAAGGTTAGGCGGTATGTTAAACCGCTACGCCCACAGATAATGCACTATTACTAATCTAGTGCACTTTCAAGGTCGTAGTCAAATATCTAAATTCAGTAAACTAAAAAGTGAAGCATAGATAATTCTGTTTATAAAGCAACATTTACTAAAAAAAAAACAACTATGTAAATCGATTAAATTCGACTAGGCAAGAAAAGCCCCTAATAAAATAAATGAAATTAAAAATCGAACAGCTCCCGCTGTGAGATTTATTTGGTTCTACTCATAATGTTGGCAACACTTATATTTTATAGACAACAATTTTGCATTTTAATCACTAACGCCACGCAATAAAGCTCTGTTTACTTTGATATCAATTTCATACTCGTCTAATTCGCGTGAGCAATTATGCATAAAGATTGCCAACAATAATTAAAGCAATAGTTTCAAAAACTAAATACGATAAGGTACCTATCGATTAGTGAGAAAAAATATAATTTATAAAAATTAAATTTAAATGAATTACAGTTTTTTTTATGCAACTCGAATTGGCTAACAAGCTGACGGCCCACATAATGGAAAATAACCGTCGCCTATATTATTGGGGGGAAAGGGATTGTTAGTAATGGAGACTGAGAATCCCATTGCTAGCAATATACCCAACCAGGTCGACCTCCTCGCGGTTCTCCCTGGAAACTATCATGGTTAATTTCTGATGAATTCATCATGATGGGCTAACTGGCCTGTTTTCATTCTCATCTATCACCCTTCACTGGTGCTCCGCCAGCGTATCCCGTTAGCGCAGGCGGGGTTACCATACCATTTTCACCCATCAAAGAAAACTGAAATGATAACAATGATGATGATTAAATAAATTTTAAATCACTCCGTTCAGGATCAATAGATACACTTTTACACTTCATTAAGTAACAAGCATCTAATCTCACAGTAAGCTAGTACATCATAAACACGAGTGGAACAGACGTCTGTCGTCTACATGGGTACGTACCTTTCTTAAAAGTCTCTAATTTTCATCATCTTCATATAAGCTTATAATTGTCCACTGCTGAACATAAGCCTCTCCCTAGAAGGGTTTTGCCAGTAGTTGCCACGCTTGGCAGGCGGATTGGCAACCGCAGTTAGGCTTTAGAGATCTTTTAAGAGGAACACTACTACCCATCCCTCGCTCTCCCTTAATCGTCTCTTACGACACCCATGGAAAAGGAAGGGGTCGGCCTATTCTATGCCGGGACCACACAGGAGATTTTTTTACTTATTTTAACAATTCTTAATTATTTTAACATATTTTAAGAAATTTAAAATGTATTCATACAAATTATAAGAGATTGTAAAAGGCATTATTTCTTGATAAAAATTACATAATCGTTCCGCTAGTTACATTTAATGGTCAGTTCTTAATCGAAATATTCATAATTGAAATGTGATGCTCTCAATCTTTGCTTTCGTACTTTGGTTATGGTCACATAATAATTTATCTTTCGGTAGCATTTCACGTTATTTAATATAGCAATTTAATATTATTAGCCTCCCCATTTTTTATTTAGTTAAAATACATTTGTATTAATCAATTAATTAAAAATTAGTTAATAGTAACCTTTTTTTTATGAACAATGAAGCAATTTGGCGGGAATTGTCTATGACTGATATCGTCGTAATACTTATGACGACTGGCCACAAGGTTCATTCATGACGCATAGTTCAATCGGCGCCATCTTTCACGCTCTGCTAATCCCAAATTACGATATCATTTTCACTTTTATTCCATCAAATGTATGAACGTGTAGCGAAAGTAAAAAAATATTTGCAATTCATCTTGGAATTGTATTAAACAGTAGTGTGTGGTAATGTAGTGCTCGTCATTGTGGTACTTTCATTCGTTAATTAATTAGAAGGGTGTTATATGTATTTTTTTTTTGTTATTATCATAAATATATTAATGCTAAAACAATCATCACATCATTAAATACTTCCAATCAATCTGTCAAATCATGCTCCTGTCTCGAGGTTAATCAATACGTACAATTCCTGTAACGAGTCCCTCAATCTTGATATATTTCACGACTCTCCCAAGTCATTCAAAAATATTCAATTCAATTCAAATAATTTATTGCACGAATATGGGTACATACATTAGATGAAAATAATAATTATATGTCCATTATTCCACATTCTACCATATCGGCGTGTACAATATAAAATTAAAGTAATAATAACTTATAACAATAAAAACAATGTCAATAATAATAATAAAATGTAAAAAGTGTCAATAAAAATAACTAAATTGCATGTCTAATATTTATCATTAAATAATAAAATCATAAAAGAATAAAATTCTAAAAGTTCTCTAATAATGTTACCATAATTTTTCCACAACTAATAATTTTAATTCTGTGTGCACTGTTTTAATAATTCTATATTTTAAATATTCTTATGTTATCACCTGGATGGTTTTTTTTTTGTTGTTTTGTTGATGTCAGTTTTGTTCATATGTAATCGATGACTAAAGAAAATGTTGTGTACATCTGTAATTGGTGTGAATGCAAGATGCAAGCCCCGTATATTAATTAAAATCAATGTCTGTATTTACACTGTTGATGTACCTTTTAAAAATAAATAAATCTGTTTTGTTTATTAATGCACCCTGTTATATTCATATCTGTTGACGGTAATTTGATGTCAATACGCCCACTTGTTGATTAGAGTCAGCAAAAAAAATCTTTATCAATTATAAATTATAATAAACATCATAGGTGTAGGTAATAAAATATACATAAACGACTGAATATCGGAAAATAAAATAGTTGAAAGAAAAAATTTAAGTAAAAAGTAAAGAACAATAATAATATAGCGAAATATAATATAATATATTCATAAAATATATATATATATATATATATATATATATATATATATATATATATATATATTGATATCACAATCTTGCAAAAACAAGTAGCCATTCACACATCAACCATACTCAGCAAAGTATTAGAAGATACTGTATTCATACATAATACACAAAATCATCACGCTCAAGACCCACACCGGTCACCAACCAGCCAACAGGCAACTAACACACACACACACACACACACTCAACAAACACACCAGAGCCATCCAACACAATTCATACACCAAACACACAAACACTCACAAATTCAGTATACACTCAAAACAGAAGGCGAGGTAGAAGACGGTAAAAAAAAACGGGCATATGTACCTTTTTTCCTGTGGGTTACAGGACGGGGTATGTTTTTAAGCCGGCATAAGTCGAGAAGCTGAAAACCAAGAATAATATATTCATATAAAACCATTTACAAGTTAAAAAAAGAAATTCCATAGTTAAAAAAAGTTCCATAGTAAAAGTTACTATTATTATATAAATATAACTAAATACTATTTGTATGTTTTTTTATACAACTTAGAATGGCAAACAAGCTTACGGCCCAGCTGATGGAAAGTGGTAACCGTTGCCTATAGACATGAGCAGTACCATGGACATAACAGAGTATACTATTTCGCCCATGATACCCCCATGCGTGGCCATTCCTGAGGACTCGGGTGTTATTCCTCTGTACCCTGTAAATACACTACCATATCCCACCCTTCAAACCGAAACACAGCCATGCAAACACAACTGCTTCACGGTTGAAACACGAATGGGACAGAGGTGCCCAAGCAATCGACTTTTGTAGAAAGTTTCCCTCTGGTGAATTATATATTATTTATAGTTATTTATCTGAATTCCTACATTTTATATTCAGAATATACGAATGGAGAATGGACCACCCCTTTCTTTTCAGTGAATGTCGTGTCATAAGAGACAACTAAGAGAATTTATTGGTCGAAGGATGGGCTGCAGCGTCTCTTTTAAAACATCACCAAAGCCTCACTACTGTTGCCAACCAGCATCCAATGCAAATCCCCCTTATTGGGGAGGCCCATAATCAGCAGTGGACAGGTAATGGCTGATATGGTGTTATACCTATTTAGTCTAAGTTCATAGGACACATCCCACTGGGTGGAAGGGATTGTTAGTAATGTGGACTACCAGTCCCATTGCTAGCAACATGCCCTGTCAGGTCGACCCCCACGTAGTCCCGTCTGGAAACCATCGTGGTTAATTCCAGGTGTATTCATCACGATGGGCTCACTGATCTTCCAGCTGGGTTACCATACTACTATCATGCATTAAAAAAAAGAGCCATCTAGTTCAAACAAAGCAAAGTTTGTAATGAATTAAAAGTGGAAGAAATTTTTAAATGAATGAATGAATGAGTATACTATATGTAGCCATTTCAGTGCATTTTTGCATGTAAAAATGATTATTTTATGTTTATTTTTAATTATGGTAAATTAAGTTTAATTATATGTACATTTTATTTGCTCATTTTTTTTTTCGTTTGTTGTTTATATTGTATTTTTTACATTGCACTGAATAAAATATTTTTCTTTCTTTCTTTCTTTCTTTCTTTACTTTATTTGCATTATACAATATAGGAAATAAGCAAATATTGATTATTTAATTTTTATGCAGCGCAACTTTAAAATATCAATTTTTAAAATTATCATTGATTACAACGTAAGAAATACATTTCCAACTTTGTAACATCTTACGAAAATCATTTGCGAAGCGTATTTTTAATCCGGAACAAAACTTATTTCTAGATTTTATTGGTTAATATCTGACCGGTTTGAATTAACCCCGCAACCATTAAATCAATAATTGGTCTTAGTCTAGTTTCCAGCACTAATTTACTCTTATAAAACGTGGGAAAAAATAAGTAAAAAATATATGAAAAAACTTTTTTTTTTTACAACACAGGGGGCAAACGAGCATGCGGCTCACTGGTGGTAAAAGACTACCGCCGCCCATGATCACCCACAACACTAACGGCATTGCAGGTGTGCTACCGGTCTTTTAAAAAGGACTATGCTCTCGTTATGTTGGGTTGTTGACTAGGTTATGTTGTCGTATCGGTTCGGAAATACTGCTGCTGGAAGTTGAAACCAAAGAGTGATTGTGCGTGGAAGAAAGTGCCTTGAAAAACGCACAGTGGAGGACCGCCACTCGTCCAGATGGTTCGGATGAAATTGATGAAAATAAAAAAACTGCACATCTTAAAACTATATTTAATCATTTTAAGGATAAAATCATAGGCATATTTATAATTATACTTAACTAGTTAACTAGACTCATGTTATTTTGTCAAAACAGGGAACAATTTTTATGTGATGGGAATGAAAAGTAAAAATGGGAAAGTTACATTTTTCTGGACAATTTTTCAAAAAAAAATCTCTCCTAAGGACATTTTGTGCAATTCAACGAACATTCGAAAAAAACATTTGCTGAATAGGTCCAACCTTTCTCGAGTTTGATGCTGCTAAACATCGTCACATTTAGTGATTAATGTTTAATTATTTAGATTAACTACTCGCCCCGGTTTTGTAAGGATATACGAATACAAATGAGACCAAATCTTTCCTGTTTTTTTTTTTATCTTCTTTTTTTTTATACAACTTATAATGGCAAACAAGCTGACGGCCCACCTGATGGAAAGTGGTAACCGTCACCTATAGACATGAGCAGTACCATGGACATAACAGAGTATATTGTTTCGCCCATGATACCCACCGTGCGTTGCCAATTCTGAGGACTCAGGTGTTATTCCTCTGTACCCTGTAAATTCACGCCATATCCCAACCTTCAAGCCGAAACACAGCCATGCAAACACAATTGCTTCACGGTTGAAACATGAATGGGAATTGAGGTATCCAAGCAAACGACTTTTGTACAAAGTCTCCCTCTGGTAAATCTCACTCAAATGGTGACATTTTAACTCATATTTTTCTCTTTGACATACAATTTTTTACACATTCCCTCTCATACAAACCTAGTCCTTTACAAAGACAATGAAAAATAATTAGCCAAATATATGCAACCGTTCTAAAATGGTAGACTTACATTTGGCAATTGATTTTTATTTATATTGAGTTGGTACAAGCGTCTATTTGATATCAAATCTGGGCCTAGGATATTGGCCCCATTACACAAACACCTCTAGTCGCTTACAAGTAAGAGTGAGACAAACTACATGGGGAAAGTGGTATAAGCCACGTATAAAAGGAGTACTGACAAAACTAATAAGGAAGCGGACGACCATTTAGGACGACTCTTGCGCAATGAATTACATACTCGTACATCGTTCCAGCACATTGGGATTTTTCAATGACACCACGTGGAAACTTAATAAATGGTAGATTTTTTGTATACAACTTAGAATAACAAACAAGCTGACGGCCCACCTGATGGAAAGTGGTAACCGTCGCCTATAGACATGAGCAGTACCATGGACATAACAGAGTATACTGTTTCGTCCATGATACCCCCATGCATTGCCATTCCTGAAGACTCAGATGTTATTCCTCTGTACCCTGTAAATTCACGCCATATCCCACCCTTCAAACCGAAACACAGCCATGCAAACACAACTGCTTCACGGTAGAAACACGAACGGGATAGTGGTACCCAAGCAATCGACTTTTGTACAAAGTCTCCCTCTATTTTGTTTATTTTATTTATTTATTTATTCTTCATTGACCACATTACAAAAAAATGACTGTTACAAAAGGCGGACTTAATACTATAAAGCATTCTCTCGCAGTAATAGCATTTTCACCCATTAAAAGACACCTCTACAATTGGCAATAGGAAACATTACACAACTATCTTGATACAAGATAAATACCTATATGTTGTATACTCACATAACATATTGCCAAATAAGAGATTCTACAGCCGGTCATTATTCACGTCGGATACAGAGTGCGAGTCGAGAGTAACCTACTTTCGTCGCAGCAAAATATTTACATTTGAAACAAAAACATAGAATACAGATGTCATTCATTTTTTACAAATTAATACATACTACACAATAAATAGAGAATGGATGTTACAGTTACCTAATTTAGATGCAGAATATTTATTTATTTATTTAATAATCAATTATGTTTATTTATTTATTTTACATTTTATTACACCAATATTACAGGACTTGTTGAAGCATTTTCAATAAGTATAGTGTAGTACAAAATGTATGTTATACGGCTTACAATATTTTTATAATTATTATTTTTTAAATTTTACTAAAATTCTCATCTCCCCTCTTAAGGAGAGGAGATGGCAACTAACCCCCGGCAGAAGCAGAGTCCGCCGGGGGTTCAAGGCCCCAGGGAGAGAAACCGGCGTACAATGCGGGCAGAATCTAAGAGCACCGCTTTCTGCATCTTTCCCGGGAGTGAGCCGCCCCGGAATCCCAACAATTTTTATTTTTATTATTTATATTTTATTGTACACAAAAATTACATTATTGTAAACAATCTATACATATAATAAAATCGTAACTGGTCGCTGTCTGTACATGAAAGATATATAAGAAAAACTATCATAGGAGAGCTTTATGAACACAATAGAACTCATAACAATGATTTTGTGCACGCTAATCTCAGAAAGGGCTTCACTGATTTGAATGCGGTTTTCACTAATGCATTGCGGTTTGCTCCACTTAACACTTAGTGTTTATTTTATTTTAACCGGTTCATAAATAAAAAAGTTATATCAATCTAAAGAATCACATAGAAAATATCTATAAAATAGCCGATCAGTTGATTTTTTTTTTCATGTTCGTAGACAAAAAATAAGATCGAAAACAAATTTCGTTTTTTTTTTATCATAGTACTCATTAAGATGGCGCACTTCGTGTTACTTGAAAAAAAAAATTATAAGATCCAAAAATTTGAAACTTCAAGCTTTTGGAGCTCTCCTCTTTTTATCCCAATACGACCATTGTTATCAAAGATACAGCCATCTGAAAAATAGCCGAAAAGTTTGATTTCTTTTTTTGAATCTCCAATTTTTCCCGCTTGTGTATTTATATAACAAAGCAATAGTGTATTTATATAACGAGCCAAACAAAACCGAGTATCAATGATCATTAATAAAGGAAACAAGGTACCGATATCACATACAGCCTGACAGATAAACCTCCACAGGATCCTGCTTGCAAACCATCCTGATTAACAGTGGCGTAACAATAGGGTGGCAGGGCTGGCAAAATGCCACGGGCCCCCGACCCAAAAGGGCCCCGGCTCAAGAGGCTCAAGAGGCAGCGAGCTCAAAATTTTCTTTTTACCTTGTACCTAAGTATTTTACTTTACTTGAAAATAAATTATAGGGCCCAATCAAAAGAATTTGCCACAGGCCCCAAATGGTATAGTTACGCCACCGCTGGTTAATTCATCACGACTGCTTATCCCGACTTTATTTTCACCTACTACTCATTAGAACCCCACCAACGCTGGGGTTACCATTCCATTTTCATCCATTTAAAAAAGCCGAGTGGCCGTGCACCAGCAGCCTCGCGTGGTGTCGCGTCTCGCTCCGGCGATCGCCACGCTTTCTCCAAGATCGCTCCTCTCGACTTGATCACGACATAGGTACCTCCTCTCTGCGATGTACTTACAATCCACTACCATTCGGACAATGATGCTGGAGTCGTGACAACTCATTTAGTGGTAGCTTGACTACAGTTAAAAAAACTACGACTGTTAATTACTCTTTGTTTAAAATTTTACTTGTATTTGCTCAACATATGTTTTCTTACATTTTAATTATTTTATGTACCCCACTTATCTATTTATTTTTTCTTATATCTATCTATTTATTTAAGTATTAGAATTTTTGCCAATAAATTCACTTCTAAACGTCTCTACAAAGTATTTTTTTTTTATGAATGATAATGGAATGATAACCCCGCCTGCGCTAACGGTATACGCTGGCGGGGCACCAGTGAGGGATGATAGGTGAGGATGAAAAATCAGGTCAGTTAGCCCGTCGTGATGAATACACTTGGAATTCAGCACGATGGTTTCCAGGGGGGGACCATTGGGAGGTCGACCTGTTAGGGTATATTATTAGCAATGGGACTGACAATCCGCATTACTAACAATCCCTTCCCCCCGTGAATTTAATGTTAGCATTTTAATGTCGCAAATACGGCGGCAATGGAGTGTAAAGGGCTAAAATAGATATTCGACCGATATGGGTGATATCGAAATGGCTGCTGACCTTTATTCCGCTATCAATATCCAGAGAATTCCAATACATAAATATCGGATCCGTATCCATATTATCTGTGCCTAATATATATATATATATATATCATATAAATCGAGAATAATTAAAGGATTTTATTTTGAATTTTGCCGAAACTGAAAATTTTAAATTATAGGCCGGCACGTACATGTATATGTACCACTATAAAGTATGATGTATCAGTTCGATGATTAATCATTTATACATTTATCTATATTTACGCTATAAATATATTTACCTTTTTCACTTATGACAGTCCTTCACCATACATTCTGAAACAATAAAAAAAAATTACATATATATTTTTGGAGAAAAATCTAAAAAAACATACATTCTGAAACAAAAAAAAAATAAAATTTAACATATATTATTTATTTTTAGAAAAAAATCTAAAAAAAATTGATATTAAACTCTATACGCCTATATAAATACAATATAATTTGTTTACCACAAAATTAACAGATATATCCCCAAAAAGATAAAAAATTTAAATCATTTTCGCTCCGCAAAAAAAAACCAGCTATGAGTAGGTACTTCAATCATAACAAAACACATCGATAAAATGACGAAATTAAATTGCAAAATACGTATTTTGCTTCGCAATAAGCGTTTTTATCTCACAAAAAAAATTACAGCTATTTTATTCATAACAAAATTAATATCGACAAATACACTGATATAAATCCTATCGATTGCAAAAATAATCATTAAAATCGGTTAGGAAATTGTCGAAAATATCGCATAACTTAATATACCTATATAGGAAAAATATGAACGAATTAAGAGCATTTTTTTTAGTTGCTTAAAAATAACTTTTAGCACTAAAGATATTTTGAACTACGCGAGTATGTATGGGGTACTTCCATCAAACCGGCGTGTGTTTGCATGTTATGTAAATACAATTAAACTGGGGTGTAGGCTCAATATATTATATAAGACGTAATACCATAATTTAGTTTTTCTCTTCATCTAAACCTAATATATAAAATTCTCGTGTCGCGGTGTTTGTTACCAAACTCCTCCGAAACGGCTTTACCGATTTTTATGAAATATTGTGTGCATATCGGGTAGGTCTGAGAATCGGCCAACATCTATTTTTCATACCTCTCAATCATAAGTATGACCCACCCCTAAACTTTTTTTTTATTTTTTTGACAAACTTTTTTATTTTTGTTTTGTTATGATTTAGCATTGAAAAATACATACAAATTCAAATTTTCACGCTTTTACGAACAACCCCTGTTTTTTAATCGCGATTTTTATATACCGCAATAGGGTTGCAAGGTGGCAATCGAATAGTTTGGCAGATCTCTTTTCAGTTTTAATCTGTCAGGAAATATATTTGGGCGACATTCTCTGCTTGCTACCAGGCAAACCGTGGAGGGGGGGGGAAGGATTGTTAGTAATGCGAACTACCAGTCCCATTGTTAGTAATATACCCTATCAGTTCGACATCCACGCAGTTCCCCCTGGAAACAATCGTGGTTAATTCTAGTGGAATTCGACACGATGGACTAACTGACCTGCTTTCATCGTCACCTATCATCCCTCACTGGTGCCCCGTCAGCGTATACCGATAGCCCAATAGCGCAATACGCACAACGCAAGCGGGGTTACCATTTCATTATCACCTATTTAAAAAAAAAAATGTTGATGACAAGTTAAAAATTAGCCTACGTTACTTTCCATACTGTACAAATGTGACAATGTGTCGAGTCGTTACGGTGACAGGGGTACCAAAAAAACTAACTCACTTTCACTACTACTACCTAAAGTACTAATTATTGTAAATATGAAAGTTTATAAATCTGTTTGTATAATTGTTATTCGATCACTCTTAAATGACTTTGAAAGAAATTCCATATATATATATATATATATATAATACATACTAATGATATTTTATATACGTATTGACGTATAAAATACTTTTTACTTTTCACTGTATAGATAATCTGGTAGTATTGTTTTTAAATACAACTTAGAATGGCAAACAAGCCGACGGCCCATCTGATGGAAAGTAGTAACCGTCGCCTATAGACATGAGCAGTACCATGGACATAACAGAGTGTACTGTTTCGCCCATGATACCCCCCATGCGTTGCCATTCCTGAGGACTCAGTTGTTATTCCTCTGTACCCTGTAAATTCACGCCACATCCCACCCTTCAAACCGAAACACAGCCATGCAAACACAACTGCTTCACGGTTGAAACACGAATGGGACAGAGGTACCCAAGCAAACGACTTTTGTACAAAGTCTCCCTCTGTTGTTATAAATAAATTATTCAATAAATTAACTGGTCAGCACCTTAAAATAATCTGTTCATTTTGCAATATCAGAATTTGGTATCGCTGCTCTGATATACGAATCTTTTTATTTTATCTATAGTTATATAAATAATGACACTGAATAATTTATAACAAAAAATGCATCGAAATTATAGTTAGATGCATTTTGAATTGCAATTTTATTTGGAGACGGCGTAATATGATTTTATTACGCAAGGGTTTTGTCTTTTATTTTTACAACCAGTCACTTGCCTGACGTCAACTTTCCCTGGAAATACATTTATTAATGATATCCGCCACCTATTATATGGAGGAAAAGATTGAAGATAAAAGAGGGGGACATTCGGAGTGAGTGAAGCAAGTTTAGAAGCGAAACACGTGTCGCAAAACATACGTGGACGAAATGGCAGTCAGAGATTGATTGATACAGAAGGATACTGATCAGAAACTACAGTGCCTCGGATGGCCAGGGTCACTAACCCATGTGCCTTACTCTAGTACTGGGGAAATCATTAGAGGAGTATAACCCTTGGAAGTCGCTTAAAAATTATACTTTAAATATGTAAAGAAACCTATTTATATGCTATATCAACATTGTACGTGAAATTTGTAAAGATATCCATTAATATACTATATCAACAAAAAAAATTAATAACCAGTCATAAAATTCAAAGTGATACATTAAACTACTAAATGCTTTAACTATCGCAATTAGATTAGATCTATAGCATAACGTATGGGAAACAAAACAGAATCGATCATTGCGTGATCGACGCGAGCGGGTATGTCAACATTTGGGAGGAATACCCTGCAATTATAACCTGGGCAATTTAAATTGATCCGTTACGTCGATAGAACGATACAAAATTGTGACCTATACAAATTAGTAGGACTAAATAATAATAGGTAAATGCAATTTAAAGTTTGTGACCTCGGTTATAAAGCTTAAATTAGCTTGTTCGAGCATTTCCAATGTTTGGAAAGGCTTTGTCTGACAAAGGGCTGGTCATTGCAGGTCGTCGATCCATATTTTACACGTATAGGTCGACGTCCGAAATTATAGGTGTAATTTATATTGGTCATAATAAGCAATATTATTTCCTAATATCTAAACTCAGTACGTCATCTCTGAACGTATTACAGAGCCATCTAGTTTTAAACTAATACTATTTTTAATATAATTTTCCTATGCAACTAGAGATGGGCAATCCACCTGGGTGGGTTTAAAGTCTGGTGGGTAAAAACCGGGTGTTTTGGGTTTATTGGGTTTAAAATGAACCCAAATTTTTGGGTGTTTATGAACATCATTATTCACGCAAACCAACTGGACATAGACAATATTATTATAGCCTACAGAATAAAAAACTTTTAATTTGATTTTGAGTTTTTAAGAGATTGTAATTTATCAATCACTGTCAGATTCAGAGTTATTTTTTTGTTCGATGCTCTTTTCGTCTAAACTGTTATGTTCATTTACTTGCTCAATGAAATTCTAAGTATTTTCTTCATTAAACTGAATGTGCATTGCATTATTCAGTTATAACAAATGAATGAAATTTTTTCAGTTCTTTCAGTTGTAATATTTCTTTTTTTTATGTATGTCTTGGATACTAAATAATATTGCCGAAGTACAACTGATTCGAATCGCTACTTTGCTTAACTCATGGAATAAAATACCTTTCCACCGCTCAATGCTATCTAATGAGCTCCATACAAAGGACAAAAGTTTTCTTTAGCTTTATATAAACATTACATTTGACAAACTTAAGTGTTGGCTTATGTAGATTAACTCCATAAAGTTCTTCCTCTTGAGTAAGCGACTAGAGTAAGTCTAGAATATATGCTGCAAAATGTATTGGCCTCATTGCCATATTGCATCTTGAAGATACTGATTTTAGAATCTGCTGTTTGCTTTCTTCGCTCAATGTCGAAATCTCATTTAATGCAAAACGTATCTTAGCTTGTACATCTCTAAATGTAATGTATGTGCGATGCAAACGATTCTGGTCGCTCTCTAAGTAAAATATGCTTTCAGTGACTGGTTCCAAAATACTTATACATTCCCCTGTCTTCGTCCAGAAATCATCACTTAGAATTAAATCTTTAATATCTCTTGAAATTACCACATCTTCTCTAACTGTTAATATTTGCAAAGCTATCTTATTTGCTTTCAAACTTTTTAACGAAGTAACATGACTTCCCCATCTTGTAGCACAAGGCAATTTTAGTGTTTGTGTAGAATCTTCACCCTGCCTTGATTTTATCAACAAGGAACTTAATCGTTGACTTCTTTTAACAGTTTTTATTATATTTATGGCTTGCATAATAAACACAGTTACTTCTTGTATCTTTACAATATCTTGGCACAACAAGTTAAGGATATGTGCACAGCAACCGAGAGGAACAACATGTGGATATTTGAGTTTTGTTAATTCGAATGCCTTTTGTATATTTCTAGCGTTATCGCCAATAAGTACAAGAAACTTATTTGCTCCATACACTTTCATTACTTTTTCAACTTCTTAAGGTATTCACTAGTGTGAGGATTACTTTCTGTATTCAAACTTTTAACGTATGCAGGTTGAGGTTTTGATATAAGAAAGTTTATTATTCCTTCATTTCTTAAAGTTAGACCAGCCATCGCACTGAAGGTGTAAGTAACTACAAGCATTTAGTTCCTCATTTAACTCAAAACGCATTTCTCTATATATTTTATCTAAGTATTTTGTCGCTAAAGCTTTACGTGAAGGTATTTTAAATTTTGGTTTCAATTTTTCGAAAAATTGTATCCATAAAGGATGTTGCACCATCGATAATGGCGTCCCTGTTACAAATATAGCTCTCGCTAATTCTGTTTTTATATGATCATCGGTGTCTTGAAACTCAGCATTTATTGTAGTGTTAGCAGACGACGAGGGGCTTATAAAAGAATCATTTGTCTCTATCTCTGACAGTCCAGACATTTTGGTTTTGGACGAGCTATCTTTTATAAGTTTCATAGAGTCTTTTAATGTTTCTGGAGATTTTGGACAAGTGATAAGATGTTGAAGCATTTTGGCAGCATTACTGAATTTGTAGACCTTATTACAAAGCTTGCAAGAAACAGACTTGTTTGGTAAAGTACGGTAGTGCTCCCATATGCGTAAATCTTTAGGTCTCCCCATTGAACCTAAAAAAATGAACGATGATTAGTTGGTCTGACGAAAATTCAACAATAGAGTGCCTATTTTTTTACAATGATTATTTCTTGTTATTTACAATAAATTTATTAAAAAAATAATAAAATAAATACAAAAAACCTTTGTAAAATTACATCTCCTCGGAGGATTAAACGCAGACGCTAGTTTATTATCGTATTGTTCTGTATTTTTCTCAGCAACTTCTTTAATTCGATTAGGTACTTACGCATATTATGTTAAAAATAAATATCTTACACATCTTAGGCTATCCACCATTATTATCCAATGACGACTCTCAGCTAACTATGCACTATCATCCAAAATAAACGTGTATGGAAAATTTTATCCCAGTCGGTTGAGGATTGAGGATAATTGCATCAACATACGAACATACCTACATACTTTTATTTACATAACGCAAGCTAAATAAAAGCTTGTAATAATACATCTAATTTTAAGTTAAAATTGTTAAGTGATCATGATATAATTGTATCATTCAAAAATCCACTTACCTTTAATTATTTCTTGTTAAGTATAAATATTATTTCAAATCTGCTCCCTTAATATGCACTTTTTTACTGCTTTTCCTACCTAACACGTTACCAGGAAGTCACGTTACCAGAGTCAGAGTAATAGTGAACACGTTTGACAGTGATTGTCGTCGCCTCATATTCAGCGTCGACGAATAGGGGAATCCCCAGTCATAATGTATTGCATGCGTGGCGGTCTTACTTATCCATAAACAAAAGATAATTACAGAACTCGATACTAGATGGCGCTGTTTTTGTTTGAAGAAAGTTTGCGGGCTAAAATACATAGAATTTCATCAATGACTTCCACAAAGAACAACATTTCTGTTTTTTCTAAGTCCGTATCTCTTCCGTATATTTCATAAGATATAAGCTTGGGCTACATTGTTATGCAACGTGATTTTGTCGCTGTCTTGCTAGCAGGGTTGACAGATATACGATTTAAATCGTACTCATACTATTATTTGTCTATTTTTTAATGTACGATCGTAAAGATTATGATCGTAATTCGCACAAAAACATACGACTTTTTGGTTACCTGGCAACATTTTTATTATGAAACGAACATGTTCACATCATCAGTCACATGCAACAATTTATTGGGGATTTCCCCTTCACATCTGGCAGTCCTGCTTGCTAGAATATAGGTAAGTCAGCCACAGTTACTGACGATCGATATTTAAAGGGTATTGTTTTTGTTCTAAATATTTCATAAAAACGTTATTTAATACTTTGTGGATTATTAATTTAGTTGATAATCACTGGAAGTAAAATGGATGCTAATTTGAGAGATCAAGATCTTCGTATAAAACAGTTAATAAAAGAAAATCTACGTAAGTACTCTTTTTATACCTAGGTAGGTAAGGTATAATAAACACAAAAGGTACTTAGACGTGTGTTCGAAGCATATATTCTAATAAATTTAATTTAAAATTGTAGAAAGAAAAAAATGTTGCCAAGCCGTAGCCGAAGCCGATCTCCAAATATATTTGGCGATAGTTCAGTGTCCGATGATTTACCCAGCGTCGTCGCAACAAAGAAAAAAACAGGATTGTGTTTGAAAGAAGAAACAAACGTGTTCTAAATGCTTAATTTATGGAGAAGAGGATAAAAGAAATGAGTATTTCGGACTGTTAGTGTCTCAAGAATTTAAATATATACGGCCATGTGTGCGAACGAGGTGTTATGAAGAAATTTTAAAGTATCTACGGGAAGCAAAAGGCCAACATGTTGATCAACTGCAACATGAAAACACTGAAAATTAATTACATTCATTTTATTATATATAGATTTTTAAAATTTCCTGAAATATTATTAGTTAACGTTTTATTTAATATTGTAGAATTGATCAATACAATTTATAAAAATAATTTATTGGTATTACTTACATATTTTCAAAAAAATACGTAAAAACCTATTTTTTTGGGTGATTATGGGAGTTTAAAAAAGCACCGGGTTTAAAAAGATATTCATATGCAACTATTGCGTATTCTCAATTGACCCAATAGAAATGAAGGAACCTTATTTACGCAAACCAACGTGAAATTAAATACCCTCCACCATTTTTAAGTTGTAATTTATTTGTTTCTTTTTTTGTGATGTTTTCGCTCGTCATTTACTAGGAATGCAGCATTACCAGAAGATGTGAGTGCATTATCTTCACAAAGTACGTTCTCAATTCGGTCATATTTTTTTTGTTTGTCGTCTAATAATATTCGTAAACGTTCCCTCGTTCATATAAAATGTTACGAGAAGAGGACAGTTTATAAACCATTAATATTGTACAAAAGTACCAGGCGACTATAAGTCATAATGAGATTGCATAAGACAGGTTGTTTGCCGGTTCTTTGGTAGACGGCCAGTTGAGCAACCGAAGTAATTAGGAGGCGAACACCATTGATATTTTTAACAAAGAATTCTATATCTGCCACATAAAGTTCAAATTAGATCAACATGAACGAATAGATCTTTGTAGAGAGTTAGTATATAATAGTAATTTCTTTGTATGTACTTGTATACCTCTATCCGTAAACGTGTACGACATCAGAATGATGTTATCATCGAGTTATCGTCTTTTAAAGTTTATTTTCAATGAGGATGCATATAAATGACAGGATAGCAATGGGGCTGTTATATCCCCATTACTAACAAACCCTTTCCCGCGGACTACGTCATATCTCCTAACTGGTACCGTGTAATTTTATTGCCATGACTCTGCCCTTTAAAACAAAACATAGCCTTGCTATGCCAGTATTTAGCAGTAGAAAAAAACACTGAGAGAAACATATTTTTGAACAGATATATGTAGGCAACATAAATAATTTTTTTTAAACGACTTAGAATGGCCAACAAGCTGACGGCCCACCTGATGGAAAGTGGTAACCGTTGCCTACAGGCATGAGCAGTACCATGGACATAATAGAGTATACTATTTTGCTAATGATACCCCGCATGCGTTGCCATTCCTGAGGATTCGGGTGTTATTCCTCTGTACCCAATAAATTCACGCCATATCCCACCCTTCAAACCGAAACACAGCCATGCAAACACAACTGCTTCACGGTAGAAACATGAATGGGACAGAGGTACACGAACAATCAACTTTTGTACCAAGTATCCCTCTTTATAAAATAATTTTTCACACATGGCAAATCCTTTCCCTTCTGTAAACCGACTCTGTGAAATGCACGCCTCGCTTTGTACATATTTGACTTTAATTCAAATACAAAGCGAGATACATTCTAACCTATTAAAAAAAAATAAACATCCTAGGGAGAAAGGGATTGTTAATAATACGGACTATCAATCCCATTGCTAGCAACATACTCTATCAGGTCAACTTCCACGTGGTTCCCCCTTGAAACCATCGTGCCGAATTCCAGGTGTATACATCACTTTTATTTAAGTTTTAGGCATTCAATGTTATGATGGAAATTTCCACCAATACGCAAAGAAGGGTTAAAGCATATGTATATATTGTACTAATGTTGAATGCCTTTGTATTTAAGTGGGACGTTATTGTACCTACACAATGCTTAAGAAATGTTTGAAAGCAACGACTGTCTACATTCTCGTGTCACTGTGCCACAGTCCTCTGTCATTCCGTACTGTTTATGAATACCTATTATTCTTTATTCTAAAAAATAATGGATAGACGACAAAAATGCGCGCAGTTGACACTTTTGTCTATGACTTTTTAAATATTCACCCCATATTGAGGAATAACTACATGGGACAGATAAAAGAAACAGAGGGAGACTTTGGACAAAAGTCGTTTGCTTGGGCACTTCTGTTCAATTCGTGTTTCTACCGTGAAGCAGTTTTTTGCATGGCCGTGTTTCGGTTTTGGGATATGGCGTGAATTTAGGGTACAGAGGAATAACACCTGATTCAGGAATGGCAAGATTTATTTATTCTGTTATGTCAAACTGCTCATGTCTATAGGCGACGATATCCACTTTCCATCAGGTGGGCCGTCTGTTTGTTCTATTTGCATAAAAAAAAAGAAAAAATATTCACTTGACTATGCGTCTATAGAAATGAAGGTATGTATTGTATGTAACAAACATTTACTAATATTATTGCTGTGCCCTTCCAGAGATCATCTTGATACTAAACTTCTAATGCTTAAAATCTATATCATTACAATATGAAAATGGATGGATTGAAAAGGCCTATGTTCAGCAGTGAACAACTAACGGCTGATATGATGATGATGATATAGCGTAGGTAAATAATTAAAATGGAATTTTGAAAATTCAATGTCTAAGTGGGAATCAAAAATGCACACTTACAAAGTCACGGCCAAAAAGTACGAAGATAATTTAATTGCAGAACATCAGTAGATGATGAAACGATGATGATGATGATTATTTATTTGTTTACATCATTAAATTCCAATGAAATAGTTTCTAACAATTACATTACGTATTTGTGTACAGGTCGTGGTAAGCGCCATTTTATTTTGCAATAATGGCGGGAAATGCCAAGTCGCGACGCCATGATCGACCCGCCCATAGTCGTGTATTTTAAACAGGACTTGCTGAATTATGTACCATAATGGTACTTAATTTATTATAACATTTAGTTACGATATCCGGTAGTTTGTAAGCAGTGTTCAATTATTTCTTTACAGGGCAAATACGTTCAAGCAAGATGTTGATTTACGACCTTAGTCTCCGACAAAATTTTAATTTTTTTTCTTTCGCTATTTTTTTTTATATTAATAGATTCAAGATTCAAGATTTATTTATTTGTAAAACATGCGTATAAATACATGCAGATGTTGACAATATAATAACGTTCGACATGTTTAGCCTGTACGGCGTACAAACATATGTAGTTACACAGATAGTTCACTTTGTACATCAAGTCCATTTTATACCATTAATCGTCATCACATTACAATTTTCAAATACATTTAAATAAATAATAATTGTCAGTCAAAAATAAAAGAACGATGTCACAATGATGTTAATAAATATAAATAAATATTCGTTTTGTCAAATTTTATCATTAAAGAATTCACATACATTGTAATAACATAGAATAGTTATGTATTATTATTATTTACATATGCAGGTGTATATAGTTACTTTTTATTGTATTATATGTTCAATTTTATGTAGGTATTATTGAGTTTAGCTGTACGGTTTTTAGCCTTGAACATTCTATACTTTTATTTCAGATTCTCAAAGGTTATCTCTCAGAGATCTCTGTATAGGATAAGTCTGCCATTGTATATTAAATCTCTTAATAAATCTAATGTAAATTATGTACAATAAAGATTTTACAATACGATAATTATCATAAAACAATCGACGATCATTATTTATTTTATAAATGAAAGACTGTTTCAAATATAACTTGTATGAGATTGCGAGTCTTGGGTCTTTTGCATATCAAAGGATATCACGTGTACTATAAAAAAAAAAAGCTTCTTAACCCTTCTGGTAAACTATTCAGTAGTATAAAGATATTCATTAGACACATAGTAACTCAGATGAAAAGAACGGAAGCACGAGCTACACCCGGAATTGAACCCAGGGTCGTGCGCGCCCGCACCGCACCTCTCCACATCATGCACAGACACGTTGACCATTCAAGTCATAGGATTTATTTCATAACGCTATTGGATATTGTGTGAACCGATTC